GGACACAGATCCAGCCCATACCCAAAAACTATACAATATGGCACTATTTGAGATAATATACAGCCTTTAGGAAAATACTTGCAGGAATGCAGATTCTTCATGAATAGTGGTAAATTTTTTATATGATATTATGAATCATTTGCCCTCATACCTACCAAAAAAGTTACAAAATAAATCAAACAATCAAGCATATCCATGCAGATTGGTTGATGACAAGAAGGTTCAAGCACGATGTTCTCACCTATGACTTTCAGCAGTAAAGAGGCCATCTAGATGTAGGAGATCATATGTTCGGGGATATGTCGAGAAAGCCTCACACCTTCAAAACAGCGATTAAATAAATCAACAAATATGCCAAGTTAGTGCCAGTTAAACAGTAAATTATGTGAAAGACCTAATAAAATGCCATTTAAACAAAACAATTCAAAGGTACCAGTCATGGTAGGTCCCAATGAGGCCCCTGTCATAGACTACGGCAAGTGTATTAGCAGCATAGGAGGAGACCAGATTCATGACCCACAGCGGATCATCAATCAAAGCGGCAGCAAAACCTCCATAAGCCGTATTCATGTCCATTACATTTCTTATTTTATCGGTCCCAATTGCAGGAACTAACTTCTTGTAGTGCTTCACACGGACCTTCCACTTACTGTCATCATGATTGAAGGCACCACCACTGCCTCCACGAACATCGGCGACGCGTTCAGGTGCAACATGCAATCTTTCTGGCCACTTGGGAATGGATTTTAATGCTAATTTCTTAAGTTTTGTATTTGGGACAACAACACAAGGCCGCAGTGGTGTGTACCAGGCTGAGTCTGGTTCAGTGCCATCGTCACACTTAGGTGGGTAGTTGTCTGGGGTATCAAGCTGCTTATAGCAGCTATTATCGGAGAGTTTTTGCCACACAGCAATGTCATCTTTTTTGTTGTATAATTTGAAGCACATTGAAGTTAACAACTCCTGCAACTTTTCATAATCCGATTTCTGATCTTCAATAGTAGTGTTCCATCCTCTCCAACGGTTTTCATAATTCACTGGTGGACCAGACAGAACCCAGAAGCCTCCAGGACGGAGTATGCGGTGTACTTCAAGAAGGTAAATGCCACCTGAATAAATGAAATCTGCATAAGTGAAAGCACCGAGTGCTTACAAAATCGAGGTATCCAAGCATGCTGGTATTAGATATATATATTCAACAAGCAACTGACAACAAGGCACATAGTGCTAAAAATTTGGAAACAATGTCATTATGTCGAACATTTGATTGCCTGGAGAGGCAGCGGATATAATTGGGGCAATCAATATGATAACAGATCTCAGCCGCTCCTCACTTAGAGGTTTCCAAGTCAGTTGTAACCATATGGTTAACCTCAAACTCCTTATAAGCTGTACGAATTTAATAAAAGATTCAGAGCAAACATCCATAAATGAAAGATGCCAAAAAAATAGATTTCATGCTTGAATATGATATGAAGGCTGAGCCAGACAAGGTGTTGTAAAACGTAGTTAGCTGAGGTACTAAAATTTAAATGCTCATTCAAAGAGATCTTCAAAACCCATGGACTAAGCAGATATTTATTAATTATATTTTAAGAAAAGAAGTAAGCAAGAGAAAGAAAAGAGAAATTAGCATGGCCTACTGATTCTGAAATAATACCAAAGCTGACTTCAATCAATGGTTGCAAGATATTAATTACCAAATTCTGTCCATGGAATAAGGCATCTTGAGCAATGAGCCATATCAAAAGAGTTTGAAGGGAAAGGAAGTCGCTGCGTTGAAATGATGCCTAGAATCGCAGGAATTCCGCGTTCCAGAGCAAATTGAACTTGAGCCTCATGGTTATCTCTTGGTGCAAGAGACACTGTTAAAATCCCACGATCTATTAAATCACCTCCCCAGCTTGCAACCTAGACAAATCAAAATTTTGTGATTAAGCAAAGCAGATCTTTTAAAAAATATATAAAATTTTCATTTTACAATAGTATTAGTGTTCGTCCCAAAACACCTTAATCCAATGAATTGCGTCATGTACAATAATAAGATCATTTTGGTACTGAATTGGGTATTGTATGTAGACTTAATTAAGTACATCCTACGAACCAAAAAACTATAATACGGAAACATCACAACCAAAGAAAAGGCTGTAAATAAGGACTTCCCCTTTACTAATGTAATCAGATAATATTTAGACCCATGACATTGAAAAATTAGTCAGCAACGAATCTCAATGTCTCACATGATCAATCCCATGACAAACCAATCGTATGATAAAATGTACTCACCCCGCATCCTGTGTCAATGGCAGTCCTAACAGTCCCATCTTTCATTCCTGGTATAAGATCTTGCATCAGATCAATATAGGGACCGACGCCACTGGGGAACATAGTACCCCCACCAGGGAAGAGAAACTTCTCCCCCTCTTTCCTCAGCCAATGCTGATTAGACTTCTGTTTGTTAATCCAATCATATGGCACATTCCTGAAGGCAGATCCAGAGAGGAAACTCGTGTAAGATCCAGGAACAAGAAATTCAATCCAAGTAATACAAATCACTACATTTCTTCTGAAATGAGACCCTTTCAGAAAATAAATATCAAGCCATATTACCTGTACCAACATTCGTTTCTACTCTTAGGCCATCTGATTGGTAGCTTGTACCCATCTGGCGGAGGAACCAAGCACTCCTTTCTTTCAAAGACTGGAGGGCAGTGGCGTTCCATGAAAGTAAGGCGATGAAGACCATACTTCTTCCACCTCTGTGACACAAGCAAGATGTCATTTAAGTAAGCAAATTTTTGTGTCATAAATGAAATCCCAGACCCAACCAAGCCTTAACACCATGAAAAAAGTCCTTAGTAAGTACCCTTGGATCTGTACAAGGAGTGTAGTCTTGATAGTCACTGCTACATTGAGGGAATGTAATGGCTTTTACTTGGAGAGGGCCAGCATCCGTTCTCCTGGGAGATTCGTCTGTTTTAGTGACCTCCTTGCTAACATAACTGTCCTTCTCAGAACAAAATATTCCACCAAGATAGAATGAAAACCCACATAGCACGACAAACATTAACGCCATCGGAACAGTCCTGGAACTTCTATCAGGCTGGGATATTGGTTTTCCATCTTTATCTTTATGCTTCATGGTGCCAGACTTCATCAACTATCTGCACATAATGCAAGCAAGTTGTAAGCCACAGCACATGTCCAGTCAATATATCTACATAGGAATAGGAGGCACATCGTTGAGAGAATTTTTGAAGAAATAGCATCAATTTCACTTCCCAGGATTACAAAATCTTAGGGTACTTCAGTAAGATAATCAAAAATGAGAAGTAAAAATTGGAAACTTAAAACTGCTCCAATTGTAATAAAATCCCAAATTTTCATATCTTCTTCTGTCTTCTTAAGAATCAAATAGCAATCAAATAAAGAAACTGTAGTAGTCGAAACATAATTAAAAATTTCATTGGTTGAACTAGCAATTTAGGACTAGTCAATTACATAATCATTAAACCACAAGCCCAAATTAAAGAAGAGAACGGAAATAAAGATGAGCATTTATGCAAAAACTTCATAGAAGAGTATGAAAAGCCAATGAATTGAACAAAACCCATCAATAAAAAACCTGTTTAAGCTCCCCAGACAAATTTAGTGTATGAGAGAATACATGAAACCATTTAATGTAAAGAAAAAGGGAAAATGAATCCAAGTTAGAAGCACTATACAAGAGTTAAAGAAAAAGAGGAGATTGATGCAGATCTAATGGTCAAATCCAGCCATTAAAACAACTTAAAACGTGTGAAACCTATAAGATCTTATTACAACTACCAAGATAGTGCACTTCCTGTGTCACTTTGCTTTTGATTTTCCACATGATACTGGGCCCAACCCTCAGGAAATTCAGCAATCCTACTGAGGGTCCCTTTGCCTAACGCCACCAAGTCAGAAAAAGATGAAGAAAAAAGAAACCAAACCCATCAATGTAATACATGAAAAGCAAAATAAAGAGAAAGCATTATGGAGTATAAATAGATCATTTTTATTAAATAATAAAAGTCGCTATTACTCGAAGTTTTCTATTGGCCAATCAGCTGTTTTTCTTGCGAACAATCAGCAGAGAATTGACCTCATAAGGAACAATCCATCAACAAATTGGTAAGCACATAGTTCCAGAACATACCCCCCACAGAACTGCATAATTTTCTCACAAATTAGGCTGAAACCAGACTAAATGCACTAAAAACAAAAAGAAGTCAAGAATCCATATAGAAATAAATCGAGAGATTCATAGATTGTGGCAGAGAAGAACAATGTATGATAAATATCTAAATTGGTGGGGAAAACTGAAAAGGTTCAAATTCTTTGAAGATCCATTTGATAAGAACCAAATCTCGTGTAGTAAAATCACCCGAAATTGAGGACATCAGAAGACAAAATGAAGTGAACCATGTCTAGAATCAGATCTGTTTGAAGAAACCCCAATTGAAAGACGAGCAAAGTTGGCAACAATTTGACCATGAGGGAGAGAGAGAGAGAGAGGGTAATTTAGCAGGAAAACGTGAATGTGATAACACAATGCAAGGATCTGAAGGGATCTGACAGTTTAGAAAAAAACAGAGTGTAGCAGAATAACATGAGAACAGATTGAGATATTTCGCAAGAGAGAGATTATCAGACTTGTAGCTACCTCTATTAATGAAACTGAGCTCCTGATATGAATGTAGATATCAGACAGAAGACAGAGATATCAGGACTTCACACACCTACATAATTTATACATGAACATAAACAAGGAACACAACCTTAAATAAAAGACTGTCTAGTTCTAAGCCTGTCTTCTGCTTCGCTGTCTTCTTTCTGGGTTTTATTACATCAACTCTTTCATGGCACCTTCCTTCTTCTTGCTTCCCCTCCCTCTCTATATATGAATTTCTCTCTCTCTCTATACATACATACATACATACGTAGAAAAATTTCTCTGCATTCTTATATAAGATTTGTGGGTATCACAAATACATCGTCGGGATAAAAATTGAGAAAGGAATGATTTCTAGTTTATACCGTGGAACAAAATTACTCGCAGAAGAGTACGCGTGGAGTGGCTTTTATTACAAGTGGAGGTGTTTGGCGGAAAATTTTCTTACCGAGAAAAACTGAAGGGAAAGTTGTGTACCCAATCAAAACCCGCCATGTGAGAATTAAGAATAAGTGCTTTGGGATCATACCCCCATAAGGGACTGTTGTACGTCCTAAGAATAGGATTCAATTTGAGTGGATTGTTTACTTGATAAACTCCATTAATTTGATCGGTTGCAGCAAGGAACTGCAAACATAGATGTTTCTGAGTTTAAATTTGATAATCATTTTAGAATTAATTATAAAAAATTTATCTTTCATAAATTTTTTAATTTTAATATCGGTAGTCTTATTTTGATTAAACTAAAATGAGAATTAATCAAAATGTACATAAGTTGACACGAATATCCTGACCACGTGAAATTTTCACCAACTAAACATCGTTGAGCCCGTTATTTATTGAGTTATTTATTGAGTGTAAATATGTCATATCATTTAAGTCATAAAACTTGAGGGAACCAACAAAGTTGGTGATGGGTTAAGTCCAAGTAGTCCAATTTATGTATTAAAGCCCAACTCCGGTTGAGGAGCCCAACCTCATCGTGAATCCACCAAGCCAAAGGAGCCCAAGGCCGGTCAGACTTCTTGCTCAGCACGTCACCAAGAGGAGAGCACGGGAAGTTTATCTGCACCGCCTTAAGGAACCCAAGGTCGGTTAGACTTCTTGCTTAGCACGTCACCAAGAGGAGAGCACGGGAAGTTTATCTGCACCGCCTTAAGGAGCCCAAGGCCGGTTAGACTTCTTGCTCAGCACGTCACCAAGAGGAGAGCACGGGAAGTTTATCTGCACCGCCTTAAGGAACCCAAGGTCGGTTAGACTTCTTGCTTAGCACGTCACCAAGAGGAGAGCACGGGAAGTTTATCTGCACCGCCTTAAGGGGCCCAAGGCCGGTTAGACTTCTTGCTCAGCACGTCACCAAGAAGAGAGCACGAGAAGCTTATCCGCACCACCGAAGGAAGGAAACGGTCCAATCATTGACCACGTTTCAAGAAGAGCTCCCCAACCTCTTCCTCTCGTGGAGGATAAGTCGTGCTCTCCACCAAAGATAACCTCTAAACTGCGAAAAAGAAGCCTTGAGGATATGTCATGATCTCCACAAGAATGATCTCTTAACTACTATAAAATGGCTCTAATCCGGGAGAGAAAAGGGACATGTTCCATCAGAGATTTACAGAAGACGAACCGACTACCAGAGATTATTATTTGTCTTTGATTCTCCATTCCCCTCTCAAAGCTTGTATCTCCATTCTCCATACTTTTGAATCAATAAAATACCCGGCAACTGAAGCCATTGAAGAGTGGACGTAGGTCGAATTGACCGAACCACTATAAATTGTGTCTTCTCTAATTTTTTCGTTGACTTCATCGCATTTATTATCTATACTTGACAGGTGGTGTGCAAAACCATTTTTGTGCATCATCAGTTTGGCGCCGTCTGTGGGAAACGACAAAATTCTCACTCCTGAACATTACGTCCATTAACTAATGGCGATCACTACTCGATCTATGAACCAACACGAAGACAATCCTCCACGAGAGGAAGAGGTTGCCCCCCCGCCTGTCAACCCTGTTCCGGATACTCTAGCCCCGAATCCCCAACAAATACTGGAGACCATGCAGCAACTTGTTGCTCAAAACCAACAGTTACTGCAACTCATACTTGCTGGACAAGGAGGAGCACCACACGGAGGTGCACAACATGGAGGACCCCAAGGAGGAGCACCACATGGAGGTGCACAACATGGAGGACCCCAACGTGGAGCACCACATGGAGGTGCACAACATGGAGGGCCCCACAGAGGTGCACAACATAGAGCACCACAAGGAGCTCCACATCCTGGGCATCAAGGAGCACCACGCCCTGTTGCTCCACGCCCGGGTGCCCCATTGGGCACCCCACTTCAGGAAGCCCAACATGAGGGAGCTGCACCTCCCCCTCCCCTTGCTTTCCAGGAAGAGGACCCTTATCTCCAGGAGGATGAGGGTGAAAACCAAAGCATGGGGCATGGAAGCCACTTCCATGATCATTCCAGAGGAGCCCCCAATCATTGGGACGAGAAAATAAAGGAGGTACAAAATCAACTCGGTGATGTCTTCAACGCCATGAAGGCACAGGGACCCGAGACTGTTGACCACCTGGTAAGGCGTACTGATACCCCTTTCAAATCTGATGTAGCGAACTACCCCCTCCCTCAGAAGTTCAAGATGCCATCTGTGGAGACCTTTGATGGAACAAAGGATCCACTGGACCACCTCGACACTTACAAGACCTTGATGCAATTGCACAACGTACCAGACGAAATCATGTGCAGGGCATTCCCAACCACATTAAAGGGGTCTGCCCGACAGTGGTTTGCTAAGCTCTCCCCCGCCTCTATTGCCTCTTTCGCCGAGCTTAGCAGATCATTCGTCTCACACTTCATAGGAGGGCGTCGCCACCAGAAACCAGTTACACATCTGCTTAGCATAAAGCAGGACCGCGAGGAGAGCCTAAGGAGTTACCTCACTCGTTTTAACGAGGAGGTACTCCAAGTTGATGAACCTGACGACAAGGTGACAATGACCGCTTTCTTGGGTGGCCTCCGTTCATCAAGTTTCTTTTCTCAGTTCTGAAGCGCCCACCGAAGAGCATGCCAGAGCTGCTAGCCAAGGCCCAAAAATACATAAACGCAGAAGATATCACAAGGGCCAGGCGGGGTGAGTCTTCCAGAGCTGGTGAGAAAAGGAAGGAAAGAGAGAAGGACGATAAGAAGGAAACCAGCAACAAATATGGCAGGACAGAGAAAGTCCCTGTCAAGGACCGGCTAGGTCCTGCTCCTCAGAGGAACCGTCAACCTTTCACTCCCCTCAATGCTTCCGTGGAACACATCCTATTCCAGATCCAGGATGACCCCGCGATAAAGTGGCCTGGAAAAAATGAAGTCTCCTCCAAATCGCAGAAATCCTAACAAGTATTGCCGCTTCCATCGTGATCACGGGCATGACACCGACGATTGCTACGACCTCAAGAGACAAATTGAGGAGCTCATCCAGCGTGGTCACTTGCGTCAATACGTTGCTGGAAGGGAACGTGAACCACAACCTCACAACCAGGAAGATCAGCAGCCTGTGGGGGAAATCCACACTATCTCGGGGGGACTAGCAGGTGGAGGAGAATCACTTTCCGCGATAAAGGCTCATGCCAGGAAGGCAAGACATGTCTACGAGATGCGCCCATCTAAGGTGCCGAAGCAGGAAAGCGACGAGGTCATATCTTTTTCAAACAAGGACCTGGAGGAAATCCAACACCCCCATGATGACCCCTTGGTGCTCACCATGACGGTGGCCAACTTTCATGTGCACAGGATCCTGGTAGATAGTGGCAGCTCTGCAGATATCCTATTTGCAGAGGCCTATGACAAGCTCAATCTGGGCAGGGACAGGCTACAGCCAATCAGGTCACCCCTCATTGGATTCTCAGGGGAAAAGGTGTATCCCCTTGGATCCATCACACTTCCCGTCACCGCCGGAGTAACACCCCGAAGTTCCACAGTCATGGTCAATTTCCTGGTAATAGAATGCCCGTCGGCCTACAACATCATATTAGGGCGACCAGCTCTTAACACATTAAGAGCTGTGCCCTCTACCTACCATCTCGTTCTCCGCTTTCCAACCTTAAATGGAGTCGGAGAGGTCAAAGGGGACCAAATAACAGCCAGAGAGTGCTATGTATCCTCTATGAAGGCTAGGAAGCCCCAAGAAGCATTGCAAGTTGAGGTCCTTGACCCAAGGGATGACTCCGCCACAGAAAGAGGAGAACCAGTCGAGGAACTCATCCCTGTGGTCTTAAAAAAGGAGCACCCAGACAGAAGAATTTACATTGGCTCTTCCCTTCCTGAAGAGCTGGCTCCCCTGTTGGTTGAATTTTTGGAGCATAATATGGACATCTTTGCTTGGTCGCATGAGGACCTTGAGGGCATCAACCCGGAAGTAGCTACCCACCACCTCAATGTCGATCCGCGGTACAAGCCTGTTCGCCAAAAGTTAAGGGGAGCCTCCACTGAAAGGGCTCAAGCCATGGACAAGGAGATTCGAAAGCTGGTTGATAACGGAGCAGTCAGGGAAGTGGCGTATCCAGAGTGGCTCTCCAACGTAGTAATGGTCACTAAGGCTAATGGGAAGTGGCGTCTCTGTGTCGACTTCACAGAACTGAACAAGGCATGCCCAAAAGATAGTTATCCACTGCCACGGATTGACCTCCTCATCGACGCCACCGCTGGGCATGAGTTGCTCACTTTCTTGGATGCATACTCGGGGTACAACCAGATTAGCATGCATCCCCCAGACCAAGAGAAGACATCATTCATCACGCCAAAGGGGACATATTGCTACAGGGTCATGCCCTTTGGGCTAAAGAACGCTGGAGCAACCTACCAACGGCTGGTGAACAAGATGTTCCAGTCTCTGATCGGGCAAACAATGGAGGTGTACGTGGATGACATGCTGGTAAAGAGCCTTGCAGCAGTAGACCACATTGATCACCTCCAAAAAACTTTCAACGTCTTGAGGTCCTATCACATGAAGCTCAACCCTGAGAAGTGCGCCTTTGGTGTGGGGTCTGGTAAATTCCTGGGCTTTATGGTCAATCAGAGGGGAATTGAGGCAAACCCTGACAAGATCAAGGCCATTCTTGACATGAAGTCACCCTCTTCAACCAAAGAGCTCCAGCGCCTCAATGGAAGGATCGCAGCATTAAATAGGTTTGTCTCCAAATCTGCAGATAAATGTCTCCCTTTTTCAAAACTCTCCGAAAAGCCTTTGAGTGGAAACCTGAGGCAGAGGAGGCTTTTCAAAAGCTTAAAGCCTACCTAGCAGCACCTCCCCTCCTGTCACATGCTGCTCCTGGAGAGACTCTCCATCTATACCTATCTGCT